TTTCAGAAGTAAGTAGTTTAGTGATAGGAGAGAGATCTGCTATGTTCAGTGCTTTAGCTCTGTAATTACTGGTAACACTTCTGTTGGAGACTAAAACTAGTACTAACAATTACTGTATCTGGTCTTGAAGTGCTGCAGCTTTACTGTAGTTGCTATATCTTGCTTCTTTAATTTAGCCTGCAGGTTGATCTTAAGTATATTTACAGGCAATAGGGGAGACAGAGAATCTTTTTCTTACCTCTTTTAGGAATGTTTTCTGGTGGGTTTTGTACTATAAGCCAGTGAGATGTAGGCATGTACTACTTTAGTGATGCAGAAATATTTATGTGCTGTTTGCCTAGCTGAAACAATATCATTAACAAATTTTGTAACTTGCATTTTTTTATCTGTAGATTTTCTGTTAATGACTCATCCTAAGAAACTTCACACAGTTGACTGCTGTTTCGTATGGACCCAGTGAAACCCACCAAAACTACTTCAAGCTTGGCAGTGCTTAGCTCATGAGCTCCTTGTGCCTTTTGGATCTTTGCAACATATTGATGGTGATTGAGGATTTGAAAGAACCTACTCAACTATTTTGTGGCAGTGCACATGGTTTTATATTTTCAGGAAATTATTTTGTAAAGAACAACTTTTAATATTGTAGTTTCACCTGTTTAATCTGATAAATGTTGAGGTGCAGTTTTGCTTTTAGAAATAACCATTACTTTAGTTAATAGAATGTGCAAGTACAGTATGTTTTGATGCTATTTTGTTCCTGTACATGGAGTTGTACAGGTCTTTTATATTCATGAGTTAAACTTTTGTAAATCACTAATGAGCTTCAGAGAAAAATAGCTTTTTCACAAGCATATTCAAGACATGTAATGTAGTGGCAAGGGTATTGCTGTAGCACCTGCTTCAACCAGCATATAGTTATTGTGCCCTGAAAAACAAACCTGCAACAGTATCTATTTTAATTCTAAATTGGTACAGTATTTTAGGCAGCTCTATGATTAAATATATTTGAGAGCAATATGGCAATAGTTTGCAGGTGATATGTAGCAACAGGTCTATCCTGATGTACAGTCTGTGTATTACCTTTTAGAACAGGTTTTGAAGTAGTAACTCAATCTTACATCATCATGGTAGGAAAATTTAGAGCAATACAGTTGAGGGGGTGGGGCTTTCGGCAATAATGGACAAAACCAGAAGTCCAGTTTAACTTAATTTAATTTTTTTTCCTCTGAGTCTACATGCCTGGGTGGAAGGGAGCCAGAGAAGCCGAGCGTCGCATGTTACATACCTCACACGCAGGTATCGGTGTAACACCAGCGTTCTGTGTGGTGGTGTTGTTTCTCCTGTAAGATATTTATACACATTTTTGTTCTGAAATACATTCAATACAGTACATCAACATAATTTGTTTATAATTTTCTGAAAGTGTATTTTAAATATGTATTTACCAGTTAATATGCAAATAACTGAGTTATAGATATTCTTTCACGAAAAGGTAGTACTGTGCAGTACGGAGTGATTTTTTTCATAAAAAGTAGGTAAGACTATAAAGTTGCTTTCAGTTATATATTTATGGTACTGCTAGATGGGTAATCTCTTCTGTTGTTTTGTTTTGATTTGGTTTTTTCCCTTTTTCAACCCAGTATGTATATTATGCTAAAGTTTTGAACTGGGATTGTTTTTCAGTACTTAGCTGTGGAACTGTTGGTGTAAATTTATTTTTGATAAAGGCTGGGTGTGTTTATTTTATGGTTCAGACCTGCACATTTTGTTTTTGCACAAAAGTCATTTTAAAGAATCTGAAATATATCTGCCAAATATTGAAAAAGTAATGGTGTGCAAGTAAATACTGCATTTTTCGTCAAATGTTGCCATTACATCGTTTTTATATAAAGGACACTTGTGAGAGATGGTGGTTAGATATGCCAAGGACAATTATTTTCAATGGTGCCTACACTGTAAAAAAAATTACTTTTAACTCCTTGTTTTAATTTTAAAAAAAATGTTTCTGTTTAAAACTTTCATCTGCTATATAACTGAAATTCAATTAGAATTTATATCTGAGAAAAAAGTCTGGAAATAGTTTTTGAAAACAATAATGTTATGGATTAAATAAATATTTTTATAAATGTAAAAGCAGCAAAAGTTGTAAATACAGTTGATCTGAAGCTTTACAAAATAACTGCATCACAGAAACAAATTGTAGTGCTCCTCTAGCTTCTGTAGTTGTTAGTCTTGTAAATCTGTTTATAGATGAAGCTTATTTCAATGTTTTGGGGGGTTTAAAATGGTTTAAAAATAAATATTTAAGTTCTGTAAACTTTCATGAGCTTGTTCTGTTGTGCATCATTTTATTCTGAATTCCAGCAGCTGTGCAGAGGTGTGGACATGTCAGGCACAGACTCGTGTTGTGAGAAGGGCGTTCCCTGCGTGGGAAAGCTCTGAGTGCCCCACGCTGTCCTTGGCCAGGGGACACCTCCCAGCTGCTGTGCCCCAGGGAATGGATGGAGCAGTCCCGGGGTTCAGTTTGGCTCCTTCCCTGCAGAGGAGGCTCTGGGATGTGTGAGCTCAGACCTGGCTGGCAGCGCAGGGGTGTCACGGCTCTCACAGCTCTGCCTGCCTTTGGCCTCGGCGTGGGGCAGTGAAGGGACACCAAGGCCTGTGCCACAGCTCCCTCCACTTTCACCTCAGCAACCTCAACACAAATCTTATTTTAAAGAGCTCCATGTACATTTTTCAGAATTAAAAACATTTTTACTTCTGTGTCGCTTCTCTTAAGGTGTTCTTTTCCTGTGGCAGTCTGAGGGAAGCGCTGATTGGAATTCCTCCTGAGTTTTGTAAGTGGTGGATCCTACCCTGTTGACACAGGATCTTTATGCAGCTTTATGGACAGTTCTGGGTAGGTTGGGTTAGCCAATGACATGGGAAATTGGAACCTGACATATTTGAGATAATACTGTAGTAAGTTGCTGAACTATGGTGCCTCTTCTTTTCCTGTGGAATGGGTGGGATGTATACCTACCTCGTGGGACAGCATGGGAAAATCTCCCCCACATGTGTACAAAACAGACTCATTCTCTTGTACTACAGTCCATTCAAGGTTTTTTTATTGTGCTGCATATGTCTGAAGTCTCTGCATAGTAAGACTATAATTAGCTCCTAAGAAGGGACATCTGTATTGCTGATTCCAGAAATGAGCTGTCTTTTTCCCACGTTTTAGTTATTGATGAACTGTGTAATTTAATCAGCAGTATTCTGTTGCTGGCAGATAGCTAACGGAAAGATAGATCCAAATATTCATGCAGCAACCATCTTCTTGCTCTTTTGGTTTGCCAGGCTTCCTGCTGCAGGTTGAGAATTGTTGCTGAAGTAATCTTATCAAAGTAGTCTGAATTGCAGAATAGAGAAATGTATTTGTTCTTGGGTAGATGAGTCCTTGATCAGTGTAACCACTCTTTAAGCCCTTGGTCTCTGACCCCTCTGTTAATTTCTGTGCAGTGTAGTGCCATCACACCTGCTCTTGCCTTGCAATTGGCTGAGATGAGTAGGAGAGTGTGTAGGTTTTAATGTATTTGCACAAAGTCTAGTGATTGTTAAAAGTCTGATTTTTATCACGCTGTTTTATGACTTAACACTGGAATAAAATTATTTTCCTCTTGGCAAAGTTTTAGTGGTGTGTATGTCGGCTTATTTCACAGCTTTATCTATTTTGTCTAAACCTTTATCTGCTTTATATAAACCAGATACTTCTATCTGAATGCACCGAGTAGCTTAATGTTTTCCCACTGTGATGCTACAGTGCCTTCAATAATCCTTTGTGTAAGGACTATAACAGTTTACATTTTCCAGGTTCTGCTGTTTGTCTTTCACCACCAGCAAACCAGATCTTTCCAGGTCCTCTCTCCATCCTTGTTTTCTTCCCTAGGGAAACAAAATCACTTAAACAGTTGTCCTTATCTCGGTGGTGATTAGGGCTGAGCAGGGAGCAAGGGGAAGGACTTAGGCAAGGTTTGTTTCAATTGTTCCTTGACAAGTAAGCCACTGCTTACTGGGATTGTTCCTTAATTTTAGTCAGTCCCACTAAAGTGGTTTATGCAATGAATTTAGCTCAGAGATGTTGATTTGTGTCACTTGCTGACGAGCTGCTTTGTTCCTCTGCTATTGTTGACCATGTGTAGGATGTGCTGAGGCACAGTGCCCACACTGTGCCCCAGTGCTCCCTAGTCCATGGAAAAATCCAAAAATAGTTCCCAAGTTCTTGTTTCTCCCTCTCAATGCTGTTTTCCCAGCATAGTCTTCAAGACTATGGCAGTTCCTGAAGATTTTGGCAGGGTGTTTGTACAATGATTTCTCATGGTGGGACATGCTCAAGGTGTGTCTCCACATGCTTGAGGAGCTAACAGCGATTGTGGAAGTATCCCAGGGCTGTGTGTGCAGCCTGTGTTTGAAACACTGCTGCTTTTTTTAACCCTCTACAAACTGTGCCCTCAGACTGCCATTCTTAAATGCACTGAGTAGTGCTTCTTGCTCTTTCCAAGGTACAGAACTTTGGGAAGGGGGAAGAAACAACCCTCTAGCCAGAAAGATTATCCCTTTTTTCAGCAGAACATGTGCCAGAGCAGCATGAGGGATCACTGCAGCTCCCAGCTTCAGCACAGGGTAACTAGGAGCAGAAGCAAACCTTACAATGTACTCACTTGTTGGGCTAATGCATTTCTTTGGGCAACCAACCAAGAATGTGGCTGTTTTCAGCAGTGTTCAGGGATCTCCACAAGTCTCCCCAGTTGCTGGGACAGCAAGGGCACAGAGGAGGCCAGGCAGCAGAGCAGGAGAGGGAAACCAGCTCCTGGGAGCACTGAGGGAAGCTCCTGAGCTGGGAGGCACAGGGCGAGGTGTGCTGGGGGGTGCCTGCAGGACTGGGGGTGCAGATTTCACAGGGCAGAACAAGGAACTCAGAACTCCAGTGTGAACAACTGTTTTTTATTGTCCACCTTCTAAAACAAAGGACAGCAACATGCAGAGTGAGCAGGACCCATAAGCCCAGTTCTTCCTACATTTTAGTCTATTTTTTTTTTTGTCCCAGCTTCCATGTTTCTGAAATCCTTCCAGCAGGCTGCAGTGGTTTCTCTGCCATAGATTTTCTGGGCTGTCTTCCTGCTTAAAGTCATGTCCTACAAAGACTTACAGGGTTGTTCTTAAAGAAAATTATCAATATCCCCCCTAAAATTTTATGGAGATGCCATCATTCTCAAGATTTCCAAGTAGATTTCATGTAGGTTTAGGGTAATAGTAAGTTTTTTAATAAAACTACTTCCAAGAAGCTGCTTGTTCCTTTCCTACCTGCTCCTGATATCTTTTTTTTTTCCCATGCTGCTTAACTGAGGACAGATTTGGGGAAGCAAAGGACCCCAAAGAAGCTCCTTACACATCTCTCTCTCTCAGATTTAAGCAGAGCACTGAGGTGCTGGGGCTGTCATGGTGCTGCCAGGAGGTGATGGCTGATGTGCCTAAGCAAAGCACAGTTAGAGAGCATGAACCCACTTCCCAGTGCTCACCACAGGGGGCTTCTAAAAGCTTGACAAGCACTACTGAGGTATTTCTGGAGCAGGATAATCCTCTAAACTGGCCAGGGAGAAGACAGCCACACACAGAGCCTTGTCTTTGCGTGCCAGGTTCTCCCTGCAGCATTGGAGGGAGGTGAGACAAGTGGAGGAGGTGGGCTCTGTCCTGTCCACGTGGCATCAGCTCAAGGACCAGCCTCCCATGAAGATCTTGCTCCTTTCCAAAAGGGCCTGAAACACCCTTCCCTTCAGTGTGCCACCCTGCAGCTGGGAAAACAGCAGCTGAAACTATTCTCTGAGGAGTCTCTTTTTCTTTTCTCCCTCCCCCTCATGAAGACTCCAGCAGCTGAGCTCCAAGCATCAGCTTGGGCAGGACATGGGGGCTTAGCAGGACTTGAGGAGATCTCTGGCTGAACTGAGACCCCCCCCCCTCAAAGCATGGTGGCAGAGGCAAACCAGCTTCCAAGTGTGGTGCAGGGGTTGAATACTTCTGAACACACCCCTGATGTCCATTAACACATCTCTATAGCTAAGAGCACTCGCACAACACGATCCCATCAATGTTTCATAGGCTGTAAGCAGACCTGCAAACGAAGAGTGTCACCATTCTCTGACCCTGGGTCAGCACCGGCCACCTCTGCTCCCTCTGGCCGGTGTCAGGCACCTAGGTGAAATACTTGGAGGCCCCTCTGGAAATCCTCTCTTCAGCAGCACTGGTGGCAAGGGACACCTCCTCGTCCTCCTCATCCAGCTGGAGGCTGCCCGAGGAGAGCCGCACGCGGGCCATGGGCGAGCGCAGCACGCGGCCGTACAGGGAGCAGTAGTCGGCGGCCAGCAGGTCCGAGTCGGAGTCGCTGGACTCGGTGCTGCTGCCCAGGTAGCGCTCGGTGGAGCGCCGCAGCCCCGGAGCCAACCCTTGCTGGGCTGGGACGTGCCAAAAAACACCGCCTTTCCGGCTGCTGAGAGCAGGGCACGGCCCCAGGGGCCTGAACTCGGAGCTGTAGGGGAAGCGGATGGTTTTCATGTCCGACTGGCTCAAAGACCGCTTGGGAGGCTGCTCCTGAAGGCCGTAATCGAAGGAGCGAGCCAGTGACCTGCTCTCCCCCGCCATGCTCGTGCCCATGGCCGTGCCTGCAGCCTCACCATGGAGCTGCCCAGCCTGGGTCCCGCTCAGGCTCTGCCGGGGGGGTTTTGCTGCCACGGGGCCGCTTGCGCCGGCCGCTCCTGCTGTGTCCTCGCCAGGGGCCAGTGCAGGGCACGGGGGCTGCAGCGCCCTGTCCAGATAGAAGAGCACCGGGGGGGCCGGGGCCAGCACGGGCAGGGGACAGGGCACATCCGTGTACACCAGCTGCCGGGCGCTCACTTCCCGCATGTTGCCCACAGAGGTGCTTTTACTGTTCCCAGCGAACTGGTGGTGGGGCCGAAAGGACGTCAAGGGATTCCTGGCTCCAAAGAAGTCCATGAGCTCCCACGCCCGCTCCATCTCCAGCTCGGCGTACAGCAGGGGGAAGGCAGACGAGCTTTTGGAGTGGGGCAGGAAGGTGGGGGATGCTTCGGGCTTGGAGCGTTCCAGCTCAGCAGCAAACGTCACCTCCATGGTGGAGCTGCGGCGCCGGCTGTCCAGGGTGGGCTCGGAGCCGTGCACGCCGTTGGCGTGGTAGGAGCCCCGGCTGCCGTAGGCCAGGCGCAGCTCCTCCACCTGGGCAGGGCACAGAGCAGGTGGGAAGGGAGCACCAGAGCTGAGGGTCTGCCTTGGCCTCCAGCTGGGGCAGCAGTGCCAAGACCCTGGCACAGAGCTGTTGCTGATGCCATGGGGACTCACCTGCTTTGATACATCCGTCAGGAGGTCCGGGGAGGAGCGGCACTGCCTCTCATCGTAGCGGGATGTGTAGTGTTTCCTGCAGGACAAGGGCAAGGGTAGGTGTATGGCCAGGAGGGTCCTTCCCCTGTCCCCAGTCCCCTCAGGCATCACCCCCCTCCATGCCCCCGGTACCTCTCAAAGGGCAGGCTCTTCATCTTAGCCTTCCTCCCGTGCTCCAGCAGCTGCCTCTGAGTCCTGCCACTGCAGCATGGAGGGAGAAATGTGAGCAGCACCATCAGCCCCAGCCCCGGGCAGGCCGTGTGCCCCGTGTGAGGGGATGCAGCAGGACCGAGGCAGGGGTCTCTCCAGGAGAAGTAGCTGTCATCACCCACTCAGATTCACACAGGGCTGGCATAAAAGGGTGGCTCGGAGCCATCCCCAGGCCCTTCCCAGCCCCAGCAGTTTGGGTTTCCCCTGGGAATTTACCTGTAGCGGAAGCTGGAACCTTTGCTGCACAGAAGGGCTTTGGGCTTTGACTTGGGCTCCTCAGAGAGCCTGAAGAAGGCGTGGTACTCCACACACGTCTTCCAGAAGGCTTTGCAGGTGTCCCGGCTGGCCATGGTGAACTCCAGGGTGTCCTTGCACAGCTCCTGTGTGCCAGAGACAGGACAGCCGGGGTCAGGAGCACGGGACAAGCTCTGCCATTTGCCCTCCTATCCCCCATATGGGCTGTCAGTGGCTCCAGGCAGTGCTCTGTCACCTCGCTGGGGACACAGGAGCAGCCCTCAAGAAGGAGCACCATCATGAGCAGCAGGAATGGATTTTACTCAAAACTGGGGACTTTGTGTGGCTGACCTTTCATCCCCGGCTGTCTGCTCCCCAGCCCAGCAGCTGCCTGTGGCATGGTACTTACAGAGATGTTTGCATGGAGCTTGATGAGAAAATGTTTCCTCTTGAAGCTCAGTTTGCGAATTTTGGACCAGTTGAAGGTGTTGATCTTTGTATTGCCCTGCAAGGACAAACACACAACAATTACAGCTGGATGGGGCAACCTGTAAATACAGAAATGTACTGGGCCAAGGCCTGAGCTCACAGGACACTGCATCAGACTCCAATGCAGCTCTTGGAGCTGCTGGGGTTTGGTGTTTGACTCTGCATCAGCTGGTTCTACAAGTAGAAATTAAGGTTCAGGGCTTAACTCTGCCTGCTGAAACTCTTTGCAAAAGTCCAAGATCCCCAGACAAACCTCAGAGAGGTTAAGGCAGGGAATCCTATCTGTGCCAGCTCAAATATCACGTGAGTTAAGGCAGAATCCGTGCTCCAAAGAAATAAAATTCTCCCCTCCTTTGCTGGGAAGTGTAGCTGTGCTCAGCTCACCCCCACCCCTTTAGACCTGGTTTAAGCAGGCTGCAAGCACACATTAATTACTCTGTTATCACTTTGCACAAGGTTAGACGCAGCCACATGGCAGAACCAGGAAAAATCATGTTACTCCACTCTGTGGCACCAGGACCCTCTCAGCTCTCTGCGAGAGCCCAGATTTTAATGGGCTCACAGATGCTCTAATCATGCGTGAGGGGTGTTTATGGCTCTGAATAAATAACCAGGTCTGGCAGCACTAATTACCAACAGCAGACCCACGGCTAGGTTTTATGTTTGGGTTTGTTGGTTTGTTTTTTTTGCTGTGACAAGATGTTCCCAGGTTGGAATCAGCCGGTGTGGGAGCGGAGCGCTGCCTCATGCTGGCTGGGAGGAAGTCTGTATTTACCGAGCAGCTCGGCCGTGATTACAGCGTTATGTAATTGCACACACACGGGGGGCTATTTTCGCTGGAAGATTACACGGTGAGCACATGTGACAGAGCCGTGGAGCCTGTGCTGCTCACACGGCCACCACGCTCGTGGGACAAGGGCCAGCGGAGCTGGGGCTCGCTCAGTGGCACACAGGGACGGTGGGGCTGAACCCCACAGCATCCCCTTCACCCCCATGGCCTGTGGAACGCGTGCCCTCTTGTAGGATTTGGGAGAGTTTGGGGTGCTCAAAGGGGAGAAGGGTCACCTCCAGCTGGAGAGGCCACCCCGGGCTCACCCGCAGCACCAGCACGCCCATGTGTGTCACGGCCAGGTTGATCTGTGTCCCCTCGCCGTCGCTGGCGGGGTGCGGGCGGATCCCGTACATCTCCAGCTTCCTGGCCACGTCCAGCAGCTGAACGTCCGACTCAGCCGGCGTCTTCCCTCTGGGGACACAAAACAAACGCACAGGAAGAGACAGGAGTGAGAAGGGAGACGCTGAAATGGGCTGAAAAAAGCAGTTTTGTAGGTGCACATGCCCTGCCTGCTGGTGGGAGCATGGTGTCAGCAGAGGTGCATCGGGGCTTTGGGCAGCCCTCACCTGTGTCTCCGGTGGTAGTGCATGATCTTGTTGTCCAGGTACTCCTGGTTGGGCAGGTACCTGTGCGTGGCCAGGTGCTGCTGGTCTGTCTCCTCGTGGAAGTCGCCCAGCTCGGCTTTAGGGACACGGGGAGAGCATGGATTAGGCTGTGAGGGGTCAGGCAGAGGGGAGCCCTGGCTCTCAGCCAAAGCCCATCCCCAGGGAAGGCTCCGGCCCTGCGGGCACTGCTCGCCCTTACACTGCAGCAGGTGGGAGACGAGCAGCGCCGCGCTCTTGTCGCTGCAGGGCAGCCGCCCCTGAGCCAGGTCCTTCTTGATCTGGAGGGTGAAGAGGTACCTGTGGAGGGGGACAGGAGCATGCCCTGCGGGGAACTGCGTGCTGGGCTGAGCCCTGAGAGCCGTGCCTGTTCCCACATCTCATGGGATGCACATCTGCAGGGTCGCAGGATGAGCGTGCAGCCCCTGCAGAAGGCTGCAGCTGGGCACCAGTAGGATCAGCAGGTCCCTGCCATTGAGATGCTCATTAGTAGATTTCAAAATTAACATTCTTTTCTGTTTTGGAGGGCATTTGCCCCTCTTGGGGCCGACGTTCTGCAGAAGCACTGTCTTGGTTTTATTCTTAGTCCCTGTTTGCAATGCTTTCTCTAAAATTGTGGAAGCTAACAATGTCATTTTTAAAAATACAACTAAAGTTGTTCTCTCAGAACACTGCTTGAGGCAGGAGCTAGACTGAGCAGTCAGACTCTGTGCCCAACTGCTAAAGTGTTTGGCAGTAAACAAATTGCAGCCTCATAAGACAGCTGATCCTTCAAGTGGATTGTGTTTAAAAACAGGATCAAGAAAAGATATTCTCTGGTTTTGTTCTGTAAAGCATAATACTTAGGATACTTAGGATAACCACTGCACACAGACAGGCTGGGGTGGATGAAGATAAAGAATTAACACACTGCAAAAACCCAGGACTGTGGTAAGAAAGCAATAAAACAAGCACTGTACCTGGTCAGTTCTTCTCTCAGGTGGCCGGGGTCCACTGGGAAAAATTTCACCATAAATTTGAAAAGAACCTCCTTAGGATCTTAAAACACAACATCTTCATAAGTTTTCTTTCACATGTCTATTGAGAACATTTACAACTCTCTTCACACATGCTGCCTCCTTACAGAGTAAATTATCTGGACCCTTACAAATCAGGGACTACAGCCTGCCCCCCCAAAACCAGCCTGCCCAGACCCCCAGTATTACCAATGGATGCAAATAGAGATTTGGATATCTAAAGAATACTAAAGAGAAAAATGCAAAAATCCCTTTTGGAGGGGGTTTCCATGAGATGGTGCCAGGGAGCATGGCCAGAGCCTTGGTGTGAATGCCATCACTGGGGCTGCGTGTTAAACTCTGCCCTCCAAGCACTTGGGATGCAACAGATCCGTAGGAGGCTGCTTGGGCAAAGGGTTTTTTTGTGGGATGAGTGAGAACAAGCAGCCAAGCCTAAAGCAAAATGTGTGGAGGGAGGGAGGCAATTATGTAAGCACTGACTGTCACAGAACACCCTGGGATGGCTCGGAGGGACAGGCCAGAAGGCACTGGGTAAAGGAAATAGGTGCCTGCAACAATTCCATTTGTGGTGCACCCAGAAAGGGAAGGCTCCTTATCAGGCTTTCCCCTTTCAGGGAAATTCATGCAAACCCTGCTCTGCAGCCTCCCCACAGCAAAGATTGGGGTCATGGCCCCAAGCTCTCAGTCACCTCCCAGCCATCATGTACTTGGGGAAAATACCGTGGGGGTGGAAAGAGGCTGCTGAAAGCAGCACTGAGTTAACCCTGGTCATGGCCAGGGAGAGGAGGCTGGGCCTGAATTCAGGTCAGGCTCTGCAGCATCTCTGGGGGCTGGGGAGGAGCTGCAGGGCAGAGGGGGGACCCTGCCCCACGCAGGTGCCTGGGCCACTGAGCTGCAAGGGGAAAAGGAGGGCACGCAGGAGCAGGGCCTGTCACCCTGCCAGCACGGCCACACAGGCACTCAGCCACCCCTGCTCCTCTGCCAAGCTGGCAGATTAGTAACAGCTCCAGCCTAAAATGGTGCAGATACCAGATTGCAAAGGCAGTGGTATTTCTGCAGGATTTTGTATGGACTGAGGTGTCCTTGCAAACAATCCTGCCCAGCCTCACCCTCTAAAATGAGCCTGGTTAAGTGCTGTAAGCCAGAGATCCTGTCCCCCAAAAACAACACTGCATGAATATGTCTGTGCTAGACTGTCATTGGTAATGATTTATAAGAATTCTATTCTTGAAATACTTACTTTTCACTTGCTTTGTAATGGGTTTTAGTGGTTCCAACCAGACCTGAAACAAAGCAAAGAAGAGCTGGGTAAATAAAGAGCACGAGAGATGGGGAATAAAAGCAGCAGCAGCATGGTAGAATGCAACATGAAAATGCTGGCCAGCTTGGCTGCTGTGACAAGTGTCCTGCTGGGCAGTGCCACACGGATGGCTGTGGATAGACCATGAGCTGTAGATAGGAGGGGAGCCACAAGCCCCAGTGATAACTCCCATTTTCAGGGTTTTCCTGCCATCATGGCAAAACTTTCTATTGAATTTTCCTTTTGGAATTTCAGGGAGGTGCTAACCATCCCCAGCCATGCAGGCACTGGCAGTTCCAGCCGCACTCACCTGGTTCCCAGCCTGGCTGTGAAACTCCAGCCCAAAGTACTCCTTCTCCACAAGGTTGAGGTGGCTGCAGGTGAGGTTGAAGAGCCCTTTCCCACAGGATTTTTGCTAGCAAACAAACACAGCACAGAAGCAGCAGGTTAGGCAATGCTGACAGCAGCTGTGCTGGGATTTCAGAGAGATGGGGAGAAGTCTCAGCTCCCTTCCTGCACCCCTTTCCTGACCATGCAGCAGCAGAATCCTACTCAATAAATGCTGTTGGCTTCAGCATGTACAACAGGACAACTGCATGCTGTGCTCCCTGCTTTTGGAAACCAGATTCTTTCCCATCACTTCTCTCCTTTATTAAGGAACATAAACCAGAAAGGAGAGCAAGAGAAAATAAACCATGTTTTGACCCGCTGTTCACAGCTATCACTGTGTGGGCAGTTCTGTCCCTGGCAAACCAGTGAGAGATCCCCAGGACAAGCACCTGCCTGAACCAGGGACAGCCATGGCAAACGTGCTTAGTTAAGAGCCAACGGAGCAGCCCTCAAACCTGTGCAGTGAGTCTGTGTGTCCCAACAGCTGGGGATGAGCTGCTATTATGGTTCATGGTAATTAACAGCAACAGGACCAGGGATCCTGTGCCGTGGGCTCTGAGTCATCCGTGGGCTTTAGCAACAGGAATTAAGTGGTGCTACATGCTGATAAGGGAGGCCAGGCTGTAGTTATTCCCAGTAAACAGAAACACTTGGAGGGTGTTTTCTTGACTTGTTACCATGCTATGTGACCTGGCTGGAGAACAAACCAGGAGGTCCCCGACTCTGGAAAATGCTCCAGAAAGCACCAGAAATTAAAATGGCAGTGACCCACCCCAACAAAACCCTGATGAACCATGAACCTGCCTTCATCAGCTTGTGAAAAGCAGACCAAAAAGAAGTAATGGTTATTGCAAAAGCAGGCTGGAGCAGAGAGGCCAGGTTAGACAGCTGCTAAATTATCACATGTTGGGTGATGGAGGGGAAGACAGGCTGCAGCTCCCTGTGGCAGTGGCTGTCCCCAGCAGGGATGGGAGGGACCTGGCTGCTGGTGGTGATGCACACTAATAACCACCTTTCAGGGCTTCTCCTGGGATGAAATTGCTGGCTCTGTGCTGAAAGGCTGCAGAAAAGTGATAGCATAATAACAGCATTCGCTCTGCAGCACTCCCAGTTCTCCTCAAAATTACTGGATCACAAGGGTAATTAAAAAAATTATAAATGTTTTTTTTCCAAGCTAGAATTTTCTAGCATGAAAGGCCCTGGCCTTTGTCAGGCAGCCAGGAAAGACAATTTCTTACTGGGTTATTACCTACCATATGTGTAGGGGAGTGACCTGCTCTGCTCCAAGGCCGGCACTGCCCAGGGCAGGCACCACGGGACAGGAGCAGCCCCAAACCCAGGAAAACCTGCTCACTGGGAGCCACAGCCCTGCTGCTGCAGGGGGTGCTTTAGAAGCAGAGCCTTTCTCTTGCAGAGTGTTGCTTGCAGGTGTCCTGTGCTGGATTTTGGGGTGCTGAGGCCAGTGCTTCCTTGAGCACTGGGGCACAGTCATGCTCAGCAGCATCAGCCCTGCACCGAGGGAGGGAAGGGGGCTCTGTGCTGGGGGAGCACAGTGCAAGGCAGAAGCATGGTATGTGGGGCTGTTTGTCCCATGTCCCAGCCCTCAGGTGCCTCTGGGAATGCTGCAGGGCCAGGTGAGCACCCACAGGCAGAAACCCCAGAGCAGAAGGTGAAAAGGAGAGGCTGCACTTGCCCTGCACTGCTCAGTGAGAGCATCTGGGAGCAGAATCAGAAAGCCAGAGGCACTTCCAGGGGCAGACAGCAACACGTGCAACACATGGGACACACACACACCCCCATGTCCCCAGAGGGACTCTGGCAGCACCTGCAGCCCAAAGGCCAAGCCCGTTTCTGCAGCATTCCCACCGGACAGGCTGCTACACCCAGCTCCATGGGTTAGGGGTGAGCATCAGCTCATGGGATTTGGTGTGATTTTTTTACCACCACCTTGGGAGATGCCTGTCCCATCAGCACAGAGTGTCATGCATCAAAAGCCACCAGCCTCCCTGTGCCCTTGCTCCTCTGCTACCAGGCCCACACACCTCCTGGCAAGGAATTCCCGGCTTTACAAGGGACACATGACCGCAGGAGGCTCTGTGCTTCACTCGGCCTCAGCAGCTACCTTTTCTGGGTTTGTTTGGTTTGCCTGCAGCATCCCAGGCCCTGCCATGGGGTGCTCAGCAGGGAGGGCACAGTGGGGACATTCAGAGATGTGCCAAGCCCCTCTCTGCCCTGCCCCGAGGGCTCAGACCTGTTACCCCAGGAACCACCTCCAGTGCTCAGCTGGAGGAAATCCTGGGAACTCAGTGGTCCCAAATGTCAGCAAGGATGCAGATGGAGGCAGAAACCTTCCTGGGTTAGCATCCAGCACCAGGAGAGGAACATGTTCTCATGCAAAGCAGCCTGGAAAGGAGACCTTGCTGCACATGCCAGCAGCTGTGTCACCGCGTGAGGCAGGTGGAGATGTCGACACTGAGTGTGAGGAGCAGGGGCAGTCAGACCCTCTGTGTTCTCTCTCTTTTGTCTTTCCCTCCCATTACACTGAAGTACTTCTCATTCAAAAGAGCTTTCCAAAGTCAGGAGGGGTTTGGGAAGAGTTGCTTAAAAGATCTGCTCAAAACTTAGCCCAAAGCACTCCTTTTATACTGGAGAAGTCACTAATTCAGCTACTCATTTATCGTACCCACCCAGCAGCAGCAAATGCATGAAATGCCTAAAAGGGGTTTCCAATACCATTCCATGCTAAAAAAGGAAATGACCAGGAGTTCCTCTAATGGAACCTATTTGCTGCAATAACATGTCGTGCAGAGCTATAGTGCTGCCTTTTGAGCAAATAAGAAAACAGAGGTGGAAAAAAATGCAGCAACATTGTAGCAGAAGAATCTTTTGAATTGGGTCTCACTGTGACCTGATCTAATCAATGGGGGGAGGAGGGAAAGGCATTTTAAAATTACTAGTCTCATTTTTGAGCTGACTCCTGGACTAGGATAGATTAATTAAACTAAATCAAACAACTTCCATACTGTGTCAAGGCATGGAATTGCTTTATAATCCTCTTTTGTGCAAAATACTGTCACAAAGAAATGGAGCCGTGCATCTGAGAGAGCAGTTCTCAAGCTGTGCTATAAACCACAGAAGAGGACAGTGTAAGAAAAGCAACAGAACTTGAAAAAAACCAAAACATTTTATATTAAACACCCTGCTCCCACAAGAGAGGCAGGTAAGTACTAGAACAAATCCACTTGAATTAGCTAATTCAATTAGCTACTGTGATTATGAAACCCTAACCAACAGTAAATGTGCAATCACACTTGTAAAAAGATGCTTCTAACACACAGACAAGACATACCTGCTTTCAGTTATCTGTACAAATATGCATAAATCTAACACCATAGATATTCATACTTAATATTTTAATCCTAGTTCAGAGCTTGCATTTGTTAAATGTGAATTATTAATCACAATGTGTTGTGGACATTGTCATGCAGAAAATAAGACAGAGTGAGTTTTTTTCCTCAGCTATTCACAAAACCACACAGTTTTCTTTTTCAGCTGAATGCCCAGGAGAAGATGTGTGCAGATGTCTCTCAACAGGGATAACTTGGACAAATATGCTATTTTTATTCTGTTCCCAGAATTTACTTCCTTGCTGAATGTTTACACTGGCAGCCAGACAAATGAGAGAACTCGATACTTGTCAAGACCATCACTTCATATTAACTGATTTACTAAAGATCACATCAGGTAAGTAAAAGCTATTCCTCCTTTTTCATAAATAATGCCAATAACAAGGGAGCATAGGAGTATGTTGATACCAAAAAACACCTACCAATTAGTTCTAGAAAGCTTCATTTTGAATTTGAGATTGGTTTTCTTGTTTGTTTGCTGGGTTTTTTTAAAGCTGAAAACAAGAAGCTATCAGACACCATGCAATCCTTCAGAGCAGCAATGATTAAATAATTAACACCAAAAAAAATCAGTAAGAATATGATACCCACTTACATCAACTACAAAGATCTTCTGGGAGTCATCCAGGAACTGGACTTTCAGGTGCAGCATCCTCGGGCACGCAGCTGGGGTGCAGCAGGCACGGCAGTGCTAGCAGTGTGAGCCAGGAGCTGGGAAGGCAGCCCTGACTCCTCTTGCACACATAATTCCCTCTCAGCTGGATGGAGAAGGCTGCACTCACAGATGTGGAGCAGAGGCTGGAGCAAACGTGCTGACCGCCTAAAAACTATTAAAAAAACCCCAACAAACCAATATGTCCCTTGGTTTAAATGCCACCAGTGCAATAAAAGATGTTTTCTGCCTGTGAATTATGGGTGTATTAACAGGGGGGAGATAAATGCTCAGCTCTCACAGCTGGTGGTGAGCAATGCAAGGGCAAAGCAAGCCCACGCTTGGTACCTCGGGTCAGGGGGGAAGAGCTGAGCATCTCTGCTGCCAAAGTCACCCAGCAGCGAGTGCCACCCTTGCTCTGCTCTGGTCAGGGTGCACTGGCAGAGCAGCTGGCTGGCAGCTGTGCTGGCTCCATGGGGTGGGCACATCATGTCCTGTCCACTGAGGAATGTGTGGATGGGCTGATGTACTTCACCAGAGACTGGAAAATGTTTCCAACTGGACTCGAAACCAGTTGTGAGTCCTTCCTGGAGAGACAAACCTGCTCCTAACTCCCAGCTCACACGGTGGTAGAGCAGCTTAGTGAAGTCTCCTTTGAGACAACTTGGTTCCCAGTTCAAATCTGAAAAGCCCATGTCCCCTCTCATCAGCTCATCCTCGGAGTGCCAGAGCCAGCCCCCCACCCTCGGAGCCCTGGCTCAGCCCAGGCTGCTCTGTGCAGCCTTGCTCAGTGTCCTGGCTGCCTGGGGACACTTGTGCTGCCTCTCTGCCCCACGTGCTGCAGGGCCATGAGCAGCTCTCTGACCCCTCTGGCTCCTCTCCCCCATCAGAGGCTGCCTCACTGAGCTCTTGGGGGAAAGCAGCCTTTGGGCAGGAGCCCCCACTTTCCAACATAAATGCACTGAGCGGTGCCAAAGGCAGGCACTGGACTGGCTTAGGGGGTCATTATTGCTGCTGGAAAAAGTCACAACCACACACCATCCTGTGGGACCCAGAGCGATAGAAACATGGCTCAGCAAACCAAAAAAAACACGTTTAGTGCTGCAGAGATTTTGCTTGGTGCTCCCTTGCCTGTTTTTACTGCAACTTCCACTGTAAGTCACTCCAGACCATTTGCCATGGCCTCTCTTACACTTCCCAAATATTCCTGAGGATGTCAAAACAGAGGCCATCAGGGCAACATAATACCTTGTCATCTCTGGTGCAGAGAGAAAGACCATGAAGCTTTTTATCCACAGAAAAATATGTAAATTTTCTGCTAACCAAGACAAAAAGGAGCCTGAAAATCAAAGCCAACCTGCTTTTCCCCACGAAGCTGCCCCACAAATCAGCTGAGTCCATTGTGCTCCAGGAGGGGATGGCTGTGCCCCCTGTGCCAGCCCCACGTCGAGGACCAAATTTGCAGCTCCACACGTGGCCCTGGGGTCTGAGCTCTTTGTGTCACAGGAGAAAGGCAGCACCATGCACAAACCATCCAGGGGGCTGAGTGCACTTCCCTCTGCAGCTTAAAATGTTTGTGCTGTCAGACATTGGCAGGCACCGAGGAGAGGAGCAGCTCTCCTGTGAGCGGCTCTCACGTCACAGGCACAGCTCCACACTGGGAGGGCAGCAGGGACACTGGGCTGGCAGGAGGGATGCATGGGGGTGCCATAGAGGAGCCCCCAAAGCCCAGAAGAAGCCAAGTCTCCCTGCTACAGGCTCTCCTGGCATGCCAGGGCACTGACCCTGCACTCCACAGATGCTGTTGGAAGCTGGGCCCCAGCCAGTCGGGCTGTGGGCAGAAGAGAAGGGTTTATTTCACTGCCTTGCTATGAAGGAATAAGGCTGGTTTGGGTCAGACAGGACCTCTGGCACCCTATACAGCTATCCATGGACACAGCACAGAGCCAGCAGCAGCAAACAGGATCAAACTACATTAACAAGGACTTCTTGGGATAGGATGCTAAAGGACAGCAAGAAGAGATGTGGGACAAGCAAGGTTTGCTTGGGATATGCAGATTGTTGCTGTCTGAGCAGATGAGAAACCTCTTTTATCCCCACCTATCTCCTTCTTCTGGAAGTGACTTGGGGGCCAGCCAGAGCAGCACACAAGGGGAGCACCAGGAGTAACTCTGGCTCATTTGAGCCAATGCCAAAACCCAGCTGGTATGTATGTCCTCCTTATCTGCAGGGGCAGGGGAAAGTGTGAAAATGGTGCAGGAAAGCACAGAACCCCTGAAGGGCAAGCACAGCCATAGCGGCAGGTGGGGAGGGGACCCCAAGCAGCAGCACCAGAGCACAGAGGGGCCTGAGCAGCAGCATGGTGGAGGGAGTTCTGCTTCAGGGCTCCTTGTTCACCCAGCTCAGCCCTAGATTTTAAATACTCTGGACCTTGCTACCACCATCCTGTGTTGCACTACTTCTCCCAGGAAGGACTTTCTTCCACCGAGTGCATCTGACCCCATATTAGTCTGGATGCATTGGCTCAGGGTCTTCTTCAGTCTCTCAAATACCCTGCAGCTTGCTGGGATGGACTGAGCAGAGCAAGAAACAAGAAATTTCCTTCCTCCCAAACCCTGCTGCCATTTTTTCCAAGGAGAAATGTTTGAGTGTTTCTCCTTTGTTCCCTGTCGGTGCTGGAGTGAGCGCAGAGACAGGGCAGAGAGCTGAGCACTGCAGCTACACCTGCAGAGCCTCCTGGAAGGGTGAGCCATTGTCCCTGGGCAGTGAGCCAGCCAGTGCAGAGCTGCTGTCCTGGTTTGGGGCTGGGGATGGGCAAGGAAATGCCCCAAACCTCCCCACTGCCTCCGGAGAGAGGAGCAGGCTGTGAGAGAACAAACTCTGGCAGAGAAGGGACATAACATGCTGCCCCTGCATCACTGTGCATTGCTGGCCCTTAGACTCTGCCATGTTTATCTTCAAATTTGGTTTGGAGGAACGGAAATTGAGATGTATAGATAAAGCCATTGAACAGAAATCTGCCAGGGGATTTTGAACACCACAGTCCAAGAGGCAAGAACCCACACCCAGCTCGCTGCTGAGCAGACAGAAATGCACACTTGAGATGCCAGACAGGGCTCACCCAGGTGGACTTTGGTCAGCTGTGACCTTTCATACACTCACATTTCACCTCCCCTTCCTCAGCTGGAGCTGCAAGGAGAACATCCACGTTCCCTCCTCACCCAGCCATAACTCCCTGAGCTGCAGGGCCAGGGAGCAACCCAGCTCTTGGCTGCATTACTGAGAGCAGGCTCTGGCACAGCCAAAATCCTTCTGAACAGCTCCAGGCTATCCCAGCTGGTTAATGAATCCAAGGCATGGCACCAGCACTGTAAACAGGGACATTTCTTTCCAGAATAGGGTACCTACCACATTCCTGCTGCCCTTCCAGGAGGGATGGCTTCACTCTCAGCTGGGGTCCCAGTTCATACACAGTTGCTTTACACTTTTTATAAAATATACCCCCTAAAAAGTATTTAAAAAAAAAAAAGCCTGAAAAAATTGAGTTTTTGTTTAGCTTAAAAAGAGAAGAAAGGAACAACAATCACCTGATTGAGGCAGAGCCACTCCAGAACGGATCAGTTGTGTTCCCAAGCTAAAGAGAAAATTAAGAGTTTGCTAGAAATTGCAGGGAAGATCTGAGTTAGCTCCTAGGAAAGACCCTTAAATTGTGAGGCAGAAAAAACATTGGAGCAGGCTGGAAAAACCAGAGTTGATTTAGACACACCTGTAGGGGACAGTCCAGGTACATGGTCCTTCCTTTAAACCTTTAACAGTGATCATTGTTTTGCATTTTCTCCACATTACATCTTGGACATATCTCAATAGTTAGACCTGACTTGCCATGTCCTGCCCTTCTAAAAACTTCTGCCTCAAAACTGTTCTATTTACTGAATATAATAAACAATGATACATTTACATTTTCATCAAATTCAGCTAAATAACCTGACATCAAGTGTGCTAAAACTTGTTACTTATAAGTAACCACTGGGAAAATGGAAATAATTGCATTTTTTATTTTGTGTTTAGGTGGGGTTCACCCATCACCTTCCAACTGCAGGATAAGACTTCCCTGAGCAGCATTTTGATACCAGAAGGTGACATTATGCAGCAGCATTTTGCCCCAGTCCCACCCAAGGCAAAATCAGTGCATAATCTCATGCTCAAGGAATCATAGAATTAAGGCAAATCTTATTTTTGTGATTATATTTTTATTCCAGCTTCAGCAGCTAAGTGGCTCTTTTTGCCTACCTGCAATAACAGAGTAGGAAATCCCAAATAACCTCGATTACACACTAAAAACTCCAAGCACAACTGCAATTCCAGACACCTGAGACAAACTAACCTTAGGTGCAAGACATTCTTTGTAGCCCCGAAGCCCTGAAACCTGAATTTATTTCCATTTCTGCTCTGTTTTCAGCCTGTGTTTGGCTGCCAGGGCCGGAGCAGCGCCCGGCTCTGAGCCGGGCCATCCCGGGACAAGGCACTCGCTGCTTCCACGCTCCCTCTCGTGGTGCTGTGGTGCCCCACAAGAAGCACGGAGAGGACTCGCTGTGCAGGGATGAGCAGGTCACTCCAGCACTCACACTTTCCAGCGTGCACCCGTGGGCATTGCTGTCCTTTCCTCCTTTTTCAGCTTTTACATGTTATGTAAAAATTATTACCAGGAGTGCAGAAGGCAGCTTGCTGTGAGCAAATACAAATGACAGCACAAGCTGTACAAGAAACTTAATACTGCCCTGACTCTGGTGATATCCAGAGCACTTTATCCCATTTTTGATATGCCAGTTGCACTGTGTTGTTGGCACAGCTATATAAAAAGCACTCTGTGATGTTTAATTCAAACAGGTCACTTCAAAGACATGAGAAAGCAATTTATGCAGCAAGAGAAAGCCTCTTAAATGTATTCAATCAAAGGAGCACTGATGCCTCCAAGGAGTTGGGCATTGCACAGCATTCCGTGATTTCCAGCTGGGGAGAGGAACCTCACCACACCTGTGCAGCAGTGCACAGCACTGGGCTGGTACCTTTATTTTTTGCTGTCCTTTATTTTTTCATGTTGTGGCTGGGCCACTTGCTGAGCATCAGGAAGGATCCTACAGCCAGTGGCTTTGTCTGAGGAAGCTGCCAAATGGAGTCTGCAATGCCAGGTGAATGCTAGTGGGAAGGACAGAGCTCTGAGGAACTATACTGCTTATTTTCAGGACAGATGAGGTTTCCCTCTTGGCCCAAGACAAACGACTCTGGTTGAGTAAGCCTTGATTACACCTAGACAAAGAAAGCACACGTTCTCCAGGTTCCTCCAGGCCAATGGGTCAGACTCATTCCACCTCATGGATCTTCACCCTGAGTTTTATTAACACTTCCCTCCCTGGCAGCCCCTCTACCCACCCTCTTTTTTTTCCTTTTATTCTTCCCCAAAAGACCCTTATCACACTTCAGTCCCACCAGGGCACACCAGATTCCAGGAATACAGCTCACAGCAGAGGGAAGGGCGTGTCAAAGCCACTCTTCACAGCAGGCAGTGGAGGACAACAGAGCAGTATCCACCTGAAACTGGGAGCTTGGTATTTTGTAGTGATCAAAGGTGATCCCCACTTCATGGCTTCTCTTCCAGCGCCTTCTGGCAGGTGGTGGCAGCTACAAGACAGACATATTTCCAAAACCAGGAAACATTCCTACATTGTGACTGTCCCAAGGTCTCAGGGGTACCCTCACAAAACCTTTCCAGAGTATTAAAGTGGCCCCCAAGAGGGAGCCATTCAGATGATCCTGTGCCAACAACTACTTCAGAGACAGCTGAAAGGAAAGGAATGCAGCTGGACACCCAAGCACTTCTAACCACAGCCTGATAATGGGCAGGCCCTGCAGCTAAAATCTTTCTTCTAACCTATTAAAACATCTGCATTACTGAGATTAGACCCAGAGCATTTGGCAAGGCTCTGCTAATTCCTGGAACAACAAATGGAAAATAATGACAAGATCAGTAATGTGACTGTGGTCCCTGCAAGGGACTTCAGAGATCCCATGTGACAGCCCAACACTCAGAGGCAGGAGCTACACTCACCTCACACACCCCTTCCTCCAGCACTGGTTATCCAGTTCCATCTCAGAAAATCCCTCACAACCCCACAGA